TGCTCACTCCACTTCCCTGCCCTCCCTGCTGCTTCCCAAATGTGCCAGGCACACTCACACCACGCCTGTTCCCTCTGCGCAAAACGGTCTTGTCCGGGCAGCTGCTTGACTTGCTGTGTCCTTTCTTCACACTGCTGCTTCAACGTGACCGATTCCTATTACTGTGACTCCTATTACTCTGTTTTAACTTTCTCCACAGCACTGATCATTCCTTGGCAAATACTTTCTGCTCTGTCTTCCCCTCCCCTTCCCTCCTACCCAAAGATATGTATTTTATGGGAAACATATTTTATACACTTTCCCCTCTAGTGTATCTTCATGCTTAGAACAATGCTGGGCATACACCAGGGGCTCAGTAAATAATAGTATAATCATCAATGAATTAAATGATACTATCCTGGTCAAAGTGATAACAATTTCACCATAGGAGAAGGGCAATGGTCAATTGGAAGATGAGGTTTAAATAAGATTTCCTTTTGTCTTTATAGTTTATTGTATTTTTTAAATTTTAGCATCATGTACATATACTTCTTACCTCAAAAAAGAAGTTCTTAAATCAGAGATTAAAAAAGGAAATTTTAAAATGAGTTCCAAAAATTATTTTCATAAAAAGATGTTGTTCTTCTGGGTGAACACTAAAATCAAGATTTTTTTTCCACAGAAATGCTATCCTACAACATATCAACAATCCTTTGAAATTTTGTTTTATTTGCAAAATTGAAGAGCATGTTTTCCATATCTTTTGCAAGTTAAGTGCTCTGGAGAATTTCTGGGCATAGTAAGGGCAGTATGCATGATGACGACTCAAGTGTAGAAAAAGGAAATTATGGTGTATGGACATCAGTTTTTAGTGAAGCAATGGTAATTTCAAGTGATCAACATATTCCTTCTTTTCTGAGCATTTATAATGTTTGGCATAACAATGGATTCTTAGACTCTATCAGCCATCAGCATCAAATATATTGCCTTATAGTAAGTTTTTGAAAATCACTTACTCACTTTAACTTTTATGGCATTAGTCTTTTTGTTAAAAAATTCTCAAAATGATTTTAAAACTATCCAGAACACTCACTCTATATGAAACACAAAGTCAGTGCATCTGAAGAACCAGTCTCATCAGAGCAATAATAGAATTTTACCTCGTTTTCTCTCCTAGGCTTCCATTCCCTCCTTCCAGCTTCCTCAACTTGAGAGTCACTGTCCACTTTAAACCACAATGTCAAAAATGAATTGAAAGCTCTTCCCGCTTTTTCTGATTCACAATCACTACAGTCTCCTACACAACCTTCTCCACTTAGTGGGTTCTCCAGCTCCTGCTCTTCTCCCCGTTCCCTTTGCGCTCTAATAGTATTTAAAAAAACAGAATGGGTTTCTTTATGACTGTAATGAACATTCATATGTAAATAAATTATCTTCATATGATGTTCTTTATGACTGTGATGAACATTCATATGTAGATAAAGTATCTTCAACTCTGTCTTCTATTTTCATTGCCCATTAAATTTTCCAGTACCTTTCCTAAACACCTTTAGTTATTATTGAAACAATTTACTTTAATTGTGAAATTACATTAGAACTAACCAAGTCAAAGATCTTGGTATAATATTCAAACACAGTTATTTCTATGAAGAATCACTGACTGCAATAAATGATTTTAAAAAATGATAAAAAGATAGAGATTTATTTTCCACAGCACTATAGTCTGAAAAGTTGTGCTCATAGTTATTTAGCTTATGTTGACCTCAGAATACTACTCACGCTCTTGTGAAGATGGAGCTGGATAATTATAATGCCCTTCTAGTCATGTTTCTAGCCATGACTTGGGAATGAGAAACATGAAAAATGACACAATAAGACATGCTTGGCTGAAGTAAATACCAATGTGAAGCAGAAAGGTGCCCGTGTCCTAAGAATCCATGACAGTTCAGTAAAGCTCCTTACACAAAAGAGGACTCAATAAATGTTTACTAGGTCGAACTACCATGGTTTCTGTTCACAGATAATAGAAACCTTCTGAAATCCATGCTACTCAAACGAGGCAGTAAAACGAGCAAGATACTCAACAGCTCTGCCCCTAAAGCCCCAAGAATTAGAAGCTAATTGGAGTGCTGAAGAAAGAGATGGGGCAAGAAAGCCTTTGGTATGTTTGAGAGGCAGTGAGAAGGCTGGAGTTCGAGGAAAGGGCAACTTCATGAAAGGAAAGTTGTGCTGAAAGCCTCAGCAGTGACTCACTTTCAATGCACTGTTATGGTATGGAAATGTTTCTAATTTTTAACTTAGTCTAATTTGAATTCCCTATATCAAGGGGCAGGTTACTTACTGCCAGAAACGTTACTGATTTTACCCAGAGACTATGTCCAGAGAAATAAATTGCGTTAGGTTTCTAAACTCTTTTCTTCTCATATATTCTCTAACAGATTGTAAAAGCAAAGTATAGCGTTCCTTCTCATTTCAGTAACACTACAGCTTTCTCAAAAAATGAAAGAAAACAGAAGACTAGAATTCACACCTTCTCAAGGGGATTGCTGGAAATGCCTCCAAATAAAAATATCCACACATCTATCCAACACATTCAAAAGTAAAGACCATCAATCTAGTGTTGAAATTGTGATGACTGGTACTGCATTATAAAGTCTCCACCCTTATTATACTAAACAAAATAAGCACAGATAAATAAAACTTTTTCAGTGTTATATAATTCATGATGGGGAATAGTTTTTTAAATTAAGTATCAAATTCAGCATTTGAAAAATACAAATCTATAAGCTCCATGGCCCAAGTAATATAAATTGGAAAAATCTTTTTGCAATTACGTAGAATTTTAAGTCAAACTATCCATAAGTCAGTATTACTGAAACAAATGACACCAGGCTGATTTTTCCTAATCATTCTCCATCTGGTTCTTCATTTTGTCTTCCACGCACAAAGCAGTAAATTAGGTAATTTGCAAAGAAGACAATGAGTTAACTTCTTACCATTTCATTTTGTTCAAATGTTCTATTTTAAATTCTTTCTTTAAACAAAGGACTATTCTTCTATCCTTTTGTTATTGTATGTTCCTTTTGAGTGGTTTCCAGAGTAAAATAAATGACCATGAAAAAAACAAAACAGTTGCTTTTAAGGTCGTTCTTATACAATTATTAGATAATGGTGCTGTTTCATGATGAACAGCTCTAACATGCTGTGGACCACACATGGTGTACTAAGTGTTGCCTTGGCAACAGACATCACATGCCCACTATCAGTTGTAGACATGAAAGACTGTAGCTGATGAACATAGTGCTGTTTTTGTTGAAAAGATTTTCATGCCACAAAAGTCAGAAACAATAAGAATACCAGAAATACAGAACTAATAGCATTTTATAGTGCAACTTTAACGATACTGAAATGTATAGTCATTCCAGGACATTACTGAGAAATATTTTTGGAAATATTTCTGTGAGAACTTTATTATTAATGTATAAAAATAAATAACAGAATTTCTGTCCAGATGGCATGGTTGGTGGTGTTTTTCAGAAAAACAGTTTTTAAAACATCAATATCTGACTTACATGTTAATATCCAATCTGAAAAAGAAAAAAATATTTGTTTACAGTGCATCACACTCAAAACCTAAGTAACTCCTTAGTTTGATTTCAGTTTCAAAGAGCACGATTCTTCAAAGCATTAGTAAAGTAGCTTTCTCTCATGTGAGAACCCAGTAAAACACGACAGTCTAGAGTCAGAAAGCGGCCCACACCAGACACCGGATCTGCCAGCACCTAACCTTACACTTCCCAGAATCCAGCACTATGGGAAAATTAATTTCTAGTCATAAACCAAAAGTAAAGTAAAATTTTAATATGTAAAATAAAACAGTGCACTTATTAGGATACCATTGCATTTTGTCCCTGAGACGGCTGAGGAGTCACCTGCTGACTTTGTTTATAGCAACAGAACTGTGAAAGTAACAGACAGGGAAGCTGGTTCAGATTTCATCCGGATTTTTCAAGATATAGATATTACTTGGCTAAAATTTCCAGCATCTATGTCTCTTCTAGCAGCCCAGTCTACTTAATAAGACACAGATTTAAAATAACCATTCAGCATCTACATATAGAAGGAATTCTTTCAACAATTATAAACATTTCTATATAAATATTCAAAATGTGCTCCTTTCACTCAAACTTCATTTAACCCTTCATTCTCCTTCCACTCCCAACCTTAGTATCATGTTTGATTTTATTAGTGCAGTGATGGCCTAGGATAGGAAACCCTAGCATATTTAACAAAATCAAATATTTTATAAGAATAATGCTAAAGTTGTAAATTCATTACTGATTCTAGTCACCATTCTGTAGCAATGCATGGTATACGTCAAAATTGCTATTTAAGATGTTTTTACCACAAAAGTATAATGGGGATGTTAACTAGCTTAATTTAATCATCCCACGACGAAGAATACATCCAAGCACCACACCGTGCCCCATACATAATATATTCCAAGCATGTCCTGTATGGGAACTCGTTCTAGGGGATAGCATATTACCTACACAGGGCACTTCGCCTCCTGCCCTTCCTTGGGCTAACAGGGGAAATGAATGCAAGGCAGGCAATGTTTGTAAAGATGATTTATACTGATCATGGTGGATAAAGGCTCTGGACTGTGACCAACCTTCAGCAAAGAATGGTAATAACAGAAACTACCACTGCCGTCTCCTTTTGCAATTGTAGGGAGTTTTGTTTTCTCATCTGGATGCATTAGTTGAGACAAGGGAGCTACCTCTGCCCGATAATAAAATATATGACAAATGGAATTTTCACCTTTTTAGCCTTTTGCGTTTCACTTTCCTCCTCCTCCTCCCCCGCCTCTATTTTTCTTCTGCAGGATGCCCACTTCTCCCTCCCCGCAGAATATTGACGGTTTCCTCAATGCATTCTCCAATCCGCCCTTCCAGCATACAGCTCGCGTAGTAGAGCAGAGTAAAGACAACCCAAGGCATCCACGTGACCCTTCCCAGACCGCATCCTTAAGAAGGGGTCCCCACCTCAGCCGCCAAGCACACAGGGGTCCGTGGAGCCCCCTCGCTCCTCGGAGCCCTCACATCCTAGCCTCGTAGACAACATCCCCAGAGCTACCGACTCCCGCCCGCCCCCCAAGGCCTCCTCTGACAGCGGCCCCGGCCCCACCGGACGGCGCCCGCTCCCCCGGGCTGGGGCGTGCCCCGCAGGGGCCGCGAGGGCGGGCTCAGGGCAGCAGAGGCCAGAGGCCGAGCCAGGCCACTTCCAACGGGGAGCTCAGCCTGCTGGACACTACCCCGTCCGCTCAGCACGCCCCGGCCTCCGACCGCTGCCAGCACCCCGCATTTCGGGGTCCCAGGTTTCACCGCTCCGCAAGATGGGGCCACCCGAGCAGCTAGGAAGAAAGGCTCGGGCTAGCGGAGGCCCGACTCCCAAGGCGGCCGCGCCGCTGTCCCCCGGGAAGCGGCCTGCGCCGGGGCATAGGGGGACTCGGGGGGCCTGGCGGGGGCGGCTCCGGCCCGG